CTTTTTTGTTCGAGTAGCCGCTTAAAGGGGAGGCTGATGGCAGACTGCAGATGGCTTTCTCAATCCCGCAAAAACCAATCGCTCGGCAAATTTTTGGCAATTTTTAGCCAGCTGTCCATTTTTATACCGCTTTTTTTGTTAGCAATGCGGAAATCCATTAAAAGCAAGATCATTCCTGTATATCCGGGAATAAACATGAATGTATGTTTTGTGCACCCACAAGTGTGTGTGTGTGTTTGCTGCGTATGCATACAAGCGTGGGAGCATGTGCAGAACTCTGCGTATGCATGAATAAATATGTAAATACGAGCGCATGTGTTCGCTTTTGTGTGGGGATTTGTACAGTCTTTTTTTAGCTTCTTTTGAGGGTTCCCGGGATAATTAATGAAACGTGCTCTCTAATTTTTTTCCAACAGTTTCCTCCGCTTTTTTCTTGAAATTAGTAGCAATAGATGATTTTAATGGAATTTAATAGAAACTTAACGAATGCCATACATGAAAAAAGGCAAAATTAAAGGACGAATGTATTGGACAGAAACGATAATAATCGCAATAGTAACAGTAATACTATTGAAGGGGAATAAATTGTTAAGTAAGTTTTCAGCAGGTCATCCTTACTCCACGGATGTGAAGGCCGAACACAGTTCATTATGACCTTTAAGTAAATTCTTCCATGAAACAAGATTTTATTTGGTCATACAAATAGAAAAGTTGAAGAGAAGGAAATGGCGACATTCATTGGGTCGATTCATGTTCCGCGATTATGAGCTTCTTTTGGATGAAAAACTGTAAATTTCCCATGTTCTTCAGAAATTATTCGCAAATGCATGTTTTTTCGAACACTAAAGATTGCCAGCAGTGTCATTAGCAAGAAAAATCATGGCAATGAAACAGCAGCTGGCTCGAGCACTGAAATAGAGTATCCGCCGATGCGTTCCTGTTAATTTAGCCTGCCTGCATCATTAAACTATTAAATTTTTTTAGCCGTTCCAGAATAGTGTGTTTTGTTAGGCCTTTAAAATTGTGGCGGTAATAGTTGAAT